GAAGCTTGTTTCATTTAAATTATTCCTCAATTAAGTTAATGAAGAAAAATAAACATGTAGAGAGGACTCCACCAAAACATTTTTACATACCTCAAGGAGTTTTATGCAGAGTGTTGTGCCTTTCATATATATATCAACAAATATTTAGCCAGCCATAAAATCCCCTTCCCCAAACAGAGTGGTTTTCTGAAGTGCTATATTAGATGTGTATTTTAAAAATTACCCGATCTTTCTTACTCCATTAATTTTATTCATCGACAGACTTTTATTGGTAGAACAGGGGGTCACAAATTTATTTTGTTCACAAATACAAAAATTGCTGCTTATGACAATGATATTAAATAATGGAAATAATGGAAACTATCAAAAGATCCCCAAAATAAATGAAAAAGAAAGTTTAGTAAAAGGAATATCTTGAGAGCCAGATCTTACTACATAAGGGCAACAAATGTAGAATTAGATTTGGGGTTTCGGGTTCTTGGTTTCTATGATTTGTATTCATCTTTGCCCCAATTTCTTAATGTAAACATTGAGATGATTTTTCTAAGTTCCTTCTGGCTCGGAAATTCTGTAGACCTAAAAACATTCAGTACAGATTATCAAAGAAAAAGAAAAATAAAAGAACAGTTTGAGGAAAGAAGAACTAATTAGCCAGCAAAATAAAAAAATAAACTACTCCATCTCAATTTGAAGTTGGACTTGTGAAAATATGCAATGAAGTTTTTCAAAGAGGTAGGTGACATTCCACACCTACTCATAGCCATTCCAATCCCCACCCTCATTGGGAGCAGAGGAGGTTAGGCATGTATGCTAGATTTTCTCAGGGGCAAACCAAGCCTCTAAGCACTCTTTATGACCCTGTGGGCACTAATATTTGAGTCACGGCCATGAGGTAAGAACTTGCTACTTGACTGGGTCACCAAGGTTGCTTGTTACTAAAACTGAATTTGAACTCACTTGCAGCATAATTTTCTTAGTATGCCCAAGCCATCTCTTAAAAAAAAAAAAAGTCTAGGAATTTTTAAATAGGGAAAACATATTCTAGTTCCATCAAACATCTTGTAAGTGATCAGAAAACAGACTGAGATATAAATATGGTATAAGGTAAGACAACTTATTTGAAAATCAAAATTAAGTAACAATTAGTAACAGCTAAAATAATAGGTGAACATATTGACTATTCTTCATTTGAAAAAAAAAAAAAGGTATTAGTTTGTTAAAGACGGATGGTCCCCGACCTGGTGCTGGTTCAATTTAAAAATTTTTCAACTTCACAATGATGCAGAAGTGATACACATTCAATAGAAACTGTACTTGGAATACCCATACAATCATTCCGTTTGTCACCTTCAGTACACCATTCAATAAATTACATGAGATATTCAACATTGTATTATAAAATAGCTTTGTGTTAGATAATTTTGTCTGACTTTAGGCTAATATAAGTGTCTGAGCATATTTATTGTAGTTTAGGCTGCGCTACCATGTTTGGTAGGTTAGTTGTATTAAATGCATTTTCAACTTACTATATTTTCAACTTACTATATTTTCAACTATGTATGGATTTATCAGAACATAACCCCATTGTAAGTTTGGGAGCATCCATCCTAACATTTTCTAGAGAATTTTAAATGTTCTTAATGGTTTTGTTTTAACTCAATTCACTGGTAATATTTCTATATGAAAAGGTTCTTATTCTTTCTTTCACTCACTCACTGAAGTAATATTGTCTGTCCCTTTAAACTGGTGTGTGGAGGCAGGCATAAGGAAGAAAAAAATAGAGGTTCATAAAGCATTCAAAAGAAGCTCCTCATGGAGGAAGGTGTTTAAAAACCAGAAACATGGACAGAAATGCTTTAATTTACAAAATAGATGTATTTCTGAAAAATGTGTGAAGTAAACATTCAATTATATAATATATTGAAGTAGAAAGCTCTGAAGTATACTGGGAGAAGGCATAGAATCAGAAGTCATGTTCTAGTTTCTAATCCTGGCTCTGCTTCATTAGCCTTATCCAAGTCACTTACTCTCTCTGAACCTGTTTCCTCACCCAAAATATATGGGTAATTTTCTATCTGCTCCAAGTACTTCCCCGGATTATGAGGATCAATCAATAATACAATTTTTGAAAAGTGTTATAATAAATAATTACTTGCCAAATAAAGAATGCTTTTCAAAAAAAAGAAGAAAAGTATTTTTCACTTCAAAATCTTACAATCTTGAAAAGAAAAATAAGACATACTCAAACAACCATTAAAAACAGTAGAATGCTTTTACAAATAAGATGAATATAGTTTCAAAACTAATCACAGAAAAGAAAAAACTATTTCAAAATTCAATTTATAAAATATTTCAAAATATTTGGATAAGTTTAAGCAAATAAAATTAAATACGACCAGCACTAATATATCAATGAGAAAATGAAATAAGGTAGAATAATTTTCTCAAAGTGAAATACTGATACAGCTTGGAATTCCAGTACTATCTGAGTCTGTAGTGCAATTTCATATGAGATCATTTACATGCAAACCAGATCAAACTTATTCAATGATCATGTAAAAATAAATGCATTTAAACTTGAAATAGCAAATCATATACTACTGTTGATCTTAGCATTCTGGTTTTTATCTATTTCCTTGTTATCTACATATTTTCAATTTCACTTTTAGCTAATGTGGAATTTTATTTACTTTCCACTTTTAAAATAAATGCTTGAAATCTTTATTATGAGATTGCTAGTAAGGCATTTGTATATATTTAATCTAGAATTTGTTTAGAATCAAACATATGTGGAGTCATGTTGAGGGAATAGTCAACCATGGCAGAACTATTCTCAGATTTGGAAGAGGAAATAGATTTATCATGGATCCTGCTATGTAGGCATTGCTTAAGCAAATAAGTTATTTACTGATAGACAAGAAAAATACATTGTCTATGTTTTTAAATCATTATTTATATAAGTTATTTCAAAACTCATTTGATACATTAACAATTCTTTTTCAGGTTACTTCAATTAAAAAAAAAAAAAAGCAAAAAGAATAGATAAAATGAAGGTCTGATAGCCCCCAATTTGAGATGACCAGATATTTTCCAACCAATTGATATTTATGTATGCTAGTTTATATGTGTGTTACCCAAAACTTAAAATCATAAATTAAGTTCTGCAAATAGTTCTATTAGATGCAATATCTGGAAGCAAAATTTCACCAGATTTTAGTTAGATTTGCTAAATATTTTATAAATTTTCATTGGTTGACTTCTATACACTATCCTGTTTCAATTCAATATGTATATTGTCAATTGCATTCAATCATTTAAGACTCATCCATATGAGCTCTTCATGTTTTTATAAATTAATTTTTAAGAACTGGCTTGATTCCAAATAAACATTACAAGACAATGGTGGCAATGACAGCAACACCAGGTCTATGTATAACTTTGGCCTTCATACATTTGAAACAGATTTTAATTAGTACTCAGGAAATTCATTTCATGAATCTTGCCTCCTTTACTGGTGAACTTGGAAGCAATTGTAAGTGAAGGAGCAGAGGTTTATTATTTACTGAAAAAGGAAGCAAGTGTTTAGTCTGTGTGTGTATGATGCACTCCTGAAAAATAGCATCCAGAAAATTAGTATTGTGGAAGTCTGAAAATTATTCTAGCCAAATAATGACTATATACACATATGTATTTATTCATATATGTATATATGCACATATAAATTTACATATGTGTATATATGTATGTATAAATGAATATGTATGTATTAGAGAAGTGGCACGACAAGTCGTTTTTGAAGTTTTTAGTGCTCTACCAATTCTAAAGATATGAGGTATATTTCCCATAAAAGCATTAAACATCCTTACCAACTTGATGTGAACTCTAACGATTTCAACATACTTCTTAAATCAGTAAATTTTTGCCTTATGTGATAAATGTTTTTGTGTCTGTAAATGATGTTTCCATATAGCATTGCATATTTTTTCATAAAATTTTTACTTTTATTGGTACTAATGTGGATAACCTAGAGACAAATGTATTCGTTCACATTAAATGGGAATAATCATCCAGTTAAACCAAAAGGAACCCAATAAAATTGTGAATTCTTCAGATTTACTGTAATAAAAATCAAAACAAAATTGACAAATGAATTTCATTCTACTCAAACTTCCATAAGAAAAAAAGAAACATATTTAAATTAAATGTTATTTTCTCTTAACAGTCCCATACAATATAGATCTTCAAGAATGTGTTTTCATTTCTTTGTTTATTGTAGCCATTCCTTCTAATAGCAACATATGTAACCATGGTGGAATGGTAAACTTAATGTTGCAAATTTTCTTCCTACTTTATACAATGAAATGAATCCTGAGAAACCTTCATGGTTGAAAAGCCTTAAAATAAGTAATACGGTATGTACACATTGGGATTTCCTGACTGTATTTTACTTTACAGGTTATATTTCAATCTCACACGCGAGGTCAAAATTAAGATGGTGTAACACATTATAAACTGACTTCTCCACCCTCAGTGTGGCACTCAGCCTTTGAGTAGATTCTGGATGATAGTAACCATATGTGGGCCAAGAAATGTAGAAGGGGCAGGTTAGCCAAAGGATTTTTGTGGATAGAAATATGCTCACATTCCAGCTATCTCTGCTCTGTGGCTCCTGGGGAACATCACAAACCCAGTGAAATTCCCAAGTATGGAGGTGTTTTTTGTTTTGTTTTGTTTTGTTTTGTTTTTAACCAAAATGGTGGTAGTAACCCACCTCTTAACATTTTGAATGGCAATTCCTACAAACTGATTTGTATTTTAAATGTTGGAGTCCTCTCATCTACCCAAGTAATTCTACAGAAGATTATATAAACAAAAAAAGAAAGTGCTCTTAATTTTTAAAAATTATCTTATAAATTATATGCCACAGATGCACAGAAGTATCTCTAAATTTTCACTAAAACTTATTAACATGCAAATGTGTATAAGTTTAATTATCTTACCTTCTTTTAGGAAAAATTCTTAATTTCTGAGGTACATGTGTTCAGTCCAACTTGTTATTGTAAGTACCTGGACACTTTAAATACCCTATAAAAATAAACAAGTTTATTCTTAAAATTTAATATAAATCAAACAATTACCAATCAATTAATATATGCTCCACTTAATTAAAAGTCAGTTTAAATTTCTTCAAACAACCCCTCTGTCTTGTGTGGGATAATGTAATGTATGAAGGTAAAGGAATTATGGAAAGCAGGTACTGAATTTTGCAAACATTTTACTCTGGCTCATCTAAACAAATGACAATTTGTAATCACTAATCGGATTTGATGTACTTTGAAATAATTCATTATTTAGGCTCTGGTTCTACTAAAGAATAACTGATTTATTTGAGAATTAGGTGAAACACTAACATGTTCTATTGATTTGCCCATAATACTATGATGTCATTAACATTTGTCACCGCTGATGATGAAAGGCTCACACTGACAACCCAACTAAGCAGTAATTTCATGGCACTGTTAGTAAGTAACCGGATTTCACTTTAACAAAAGCTCTTCCTCTTTTTCTGGATAAAGGAAATATATCGGATATTTAAAGTAAATAGAAATTTTAAATAATTGGATTTTTCAAACGTGATATTTAAAAAGTGCTTTGGAAAACTTCACTATACTAAAACAGATGCTCTGTAACATTAGTTGTACACATTTTATAGTTGAATAAATAATGTAAACAACTTAGAAGATAAAATAAAGACAATTCAAAGCTGGGCCAAAGAATTAACATATTTGACAAAAAAGTAAAATTTGGTGAAAACAAAAAAAGTATGCAATGGAGGTTCATTAGCTAACTTATTAACCTTATTAAACATTTTAATCTTATTAAAGTAAAAAAAAAGATACATATTCTAAAGTAGTGTGTCTTTCCAATCCTTGTTTTTTTCTTACTGTACTATTTTGAGAAATATAGAATATTTCTATATTACCATATATTTAAAAATAGAATATATTATCCTATATGCATTTTTCAGCAGACATTTATTGGATCTCTTACGTTGTGATAGGATTAGATAAAATTTAGTGAATTAATTTAAGCAAATAATTTATGCTAGGTGTATAGGTAAGTTATCAGAAAATGGTACCCCAAATGTATATACAAGCATTTAAAACTCAAATGTCAATACCATACCAAACATCCCTTGGATACATGCATCATGAGATGGTGAAATTATTTGAAGATAGTGATTAGATGAAAAACAAGTTCTTTGTGGGAGAGGAGTCAATCAACTGAGGAACTAGAATTTTTGAAGACTTATCTGGCTGGTTATTAGAATTGCTATAATATATGACAAGAACGGAGTTGAAGAGACTGACAGTAAGCTACAGTTAAAATCTTAACAGAAGAGGGGAAGGGGCCAGAGGTTGGTGGAAAACTTCTCTAAGGGGTAGTAGCAGAGTAGCAGAGAATATCTACTGATGTCTGGAGAACACAGCTAGGAGATTTCAGGGAGGAGAAATGGTACTGATCAGGAAGTGGCACTGAGGAGCAAAGAACATTATACCAATCCCAATCTCAGTAACTTAAGTGGAGTGTGAGAAAAATATCACTGTTTTTTTTGTTTTTTTGTTTTTTTTTTTTTTTTCAGTTGGAGTTTCACCCTTGTCGCCCAGGCTGGAGTGCAATGGCGTCATCTCAGCTCACTGCAATCTCCGCCTTCCGGGTTCAAGCAATTCTCCTGCCTCAGTCTCCCAAGTAGTTAGGATTACAGGCACCTGCTCCCACACCCGGCTAACTTTTGTATTTTCAGTATAGACGGGGTTTCACCATGTTGGCCATGCTGGTCTTGAACTCCTGATCTCAGTTGATCCACCTGCCTCAGCCTTCCAAAGTGCTGGGATCACAGGCATGAGCCACCACACACAGCCAAAATATCCACCTTTTAAAAGTCGGTGTGTAATGCAGAGTCATCAGGCTTCATTTGGGGTGATGATAAGGGGGAAATACACAGAAGTGAAAGATAAAAGGGCTTTGTTGTTGAGTTCCAGAGAGGACAGTGAAAGAGTATCCAGAGACAGAGAAAATTAGAGGATGAGGATTAGAGTCTTAGGGATCAGGAATGACTTGGAAGTTCTGAGTTCCTTCTGGTGACTGACATAAAATGATAAAATGAACATGATGAGTTAAGTCCTAATTTTTCCTAAGCAGACAATAGTGATGAGGCTATCGAGGTCAGTGGGAACAGAGAGATGGTTGTAAGGTCATGTCAGGAGTGTTCAGATTGTTCAGGTGTCCACTTAACTCTTGATGATGGGCTTCTCTGACACAGCAAAGGGTGTGTAAATTCCTCTTGACTTCTACTGATGGACCCCTCTAGGCTAGCAATGGGTCAGCCTTTCTCCCTTGATCCTAACCAGCAGTGGCCTGTAGAACATACATCACGTGTAGGCTTCTTTCTGACATACTCAGTGTTATGAAATAATAGGATAGAAGGAATCCCAGTATTCATTTGCTTGGGACGGTCGGGGCAGTCTTCTGTATTGGTTACATTTTATCTGAGACCTGAAGGAAGACTATGCTGATATTTTGAGGAAGTATTTACTAAACCGAAGGGGCAATAAATACAAAGACCCTGAGGCAAGATCATGCATTGACTATTCCAGAAACAGCAATAAAGTCAGCAAGCAATGCGTGAGAGAAGGGTGATGAGGGAAATATGAAGATGTAAAATAAAATATGGTTATAACTATAAACCAAATTTAAATGATAAGAAAATAAACTGCAAACATTGGCAAGATCTATAAAATACAATTCTTATTTTAAAAAAGTGTATTGATCAAATCAAAATATTGTAGAAAACATACATAAGCTACGTTAAATATAATTAAAATAACCTAATTACACAATGGAGGTTTTAACTATTTCAGATATCTCCATTTCATATTGACTCAATGCAGTCATCATGTTGGTCGAAAATATCACTCTAACACACAGAATATTGTTGAATTCAGTCCTGTAATGATAATTAGAATATACATGGCTGACACGAAAAAATATACATCTTCTCTAATAATGTAGAGAATCTGCTGGTACAAATGAGTTTTTCACCTATTTTTGGGGAAATTATGTGAGCCAAGCAGGTACTGGAAGATACAAAATAACTGATTCAACCTGACAGTCTTTTTTTTTTTTTTTTTTTTTAATTCACACCATATAATTTTTCTTTAAAAAAAAAAATCTGTCAAAAGAGGTTCCATTAGTGTCAGGTAAAGATTCCTAACAAGCATACTTTTCACTTGTTCTAAATGATAGTAACAAGTAAAACTTAAATGGGAAACTCCTACTACAAATAGATGATAATTCTTTATCTTATCTATTTCTTTTCTTTGATCCTGGTGTTCTTCTGGAAATTCTAAAGGAGTTGTGACTTAGACAAATCTGATGTCTGCTAGTTCTTACAGGGCCGTACTAAGAACAAATAAAATATTATGCTTTCTGCTGTACTTGTTTTCATTAAGCCATGATTTACTGGCAGTTAGAACTGCAACTTATACTGGTCATTTTCTTTTAAAATAGCAGAGTGAAATTATTGGAAAGACTTAAAGCTGTCATTAATATTGCTAGAAAAGTTCATTCCAAATTTAGAATATTTCCCTCTCTTTCTCTTCTCTCCATCCATTTCGCCTTCCATTTGTCTCTCATGAGAGGGTGGGAAGATGAGGTAATTTCGGCAATAGATACAAATAAATTAAAAATGAATCAATTAAGGTTTAATTTCATTTCACATGCAGATTTCCGAGTGATTTTTATTAGAATTAGTAGATGTAATATACATATTTTTATATAATGTTATATATTATTATATATTTATAATATATAATATATAACAACATATATATAATATATAAATATATATATTTCTAATGGCTTGAAGTTGTTACACTGAATATTGAATGTATACTAAAATTATGTAAATTTAAGTAATTTCAAACAATCTTATCTTTAAACATGCAATTTCAATATTTTATTAATAATCTGAAAATACTTTTTAAACATACTATATCAGGCAAGGTTTCAGGTGCAAAATTAAATTAGACATACAACCAAAATATAACCTTTTAGCTGGCTGGGACTTGTTTTTTAGTTGCTTCCATACCCTCAGTGAATAGAACAGTGCCTTCAGGGAGTTACATTAAAAAATCTCTAACGAATATACATTTTATGTGAATGTCTCTATTAGAATAAATGTATGTATTTGAGTAAATGAAGGAATGTGTTCCCATCTCCTTTCTTCTGTTTTACAGAGGGAGTCACACAAATAAGTCAGTACATTGTAGTATGTGATGAGTATAATGATGGTCATATATACTGAATGCTTAGCAAATGTAGCAGTAAGAATCTAAATCAGATTACAGGGATTTTTGTGCTCCCAAGTCTATGAAGATAAGATTAAAGATGAATGGTAAAGATTTATGGTACACACTTCAGGGGTTGGTATATACCTTAGGTACCATAGAACATTGCTCAAGGAAGGCAAGTACACTTTTCCAGTACCCAGAAAAATATTTAAATTGTGAAAAATGCTTTAGTTTCTATTAAAAAAGGTATGCAAATTAAAAACTAAGAAATTTTAGCTAAATGTCTATTAATTTACCCCCAAACTTATCAGTTGCTCAACTGAAACCTTTTCATAGTGAGATTTTCTCCCTTTGCAAGTATCTCTCAATATGCATAATAATTATTTTTTAAGATTACAGACAATTGTAATGAAGTGAAAACACATATTTATAAAATGTTTTCCAATTTTTGCAAACATGAAAACCCATAATGCTTAATATTGGGCAAAGGTAAATTTTCATATATTTAAAATATTATGGGGTGATGCCACCAAAACAAACAAATGACACCTAGGACATCAGAAGACCTACAACACCTCTGTATCATCTCGTCTTATACTGCCTCTGACGCAGGCTGAAAATAAACGTAATTGGTCTTGAATGTGTATGGCATCTATCTTTTAAGTAAGCAACTTCTAAACCTAATTTGTTGTTGATGGTCTCTAGAGTAGAAAGCTGAAACTCAAAATTTCA